ACTGTCTGCTGCTGAACACAGCACCATCAAGTGCGCCAAGCAGGAACGAAGCATTTCATGCAGATCGCGGGGGGAGTTCAGTGCAAATATAGGTGTGTGCTTTTTGGTCTGGAAGGGGTAACATTTAACGTTTACAATTTTAAAAAACACAGTTACAGTAATTGACAGGGCCCCTATTTTTTTAATTTCTGTAAATGTGTTTGTTTGTTTATTTATTTACTTATTTATTTATTGTTTTTTTTTGTTGTTTTTTTTGTGGAGGGCCACCTGTCAACGGCCCTTAGAATTGTCATAACTTTTCCCCCTACCGCGCTCCTGCCGACCAATGACTAATCTGACTTAATATTGGCCCTTGTGGCAGTTTTTGACGTTGGTGATATGGGTCTCTGCCCAGGGCGATATTATGTTAGAGGGTGACACAGGCAGGTTCTGTCAACTGGGCCACAACAGGTTATCTATTGGCTTTTAGGGATGTCCAGTCAGAAGGGATTGGAGACATGGCAGGACATCGCCACTGGCTGATGATGCTGATGTTGGTGTCTGGTTTAAAATTTCTTTCTAACCCTGAATTAAAAGGCTTTCTAGTCTTAGTTGTATTAGTTTTTGATTTAATATAGATTTTAAACTATTTCAATTTCTCTTCACACCAATACAATTAACAGCATTCAAGATATTTTTCCTACTTTTCTGAGCGATGAGTGGTCATTAATTATATCTATTGCTTGGAGAGGTGATGTCACACTGTGTGTGAGAGAGACGAGTTGCAATAAAACTTTGTTTTGCTGCTATTAATTGTGAGAAGTCAAGTTCGCATTTCTGATTCAGTGTATGCATTTACCTGAACTTTATGATCTCGAAATTTACGTTAGCATTTTAAAATTTCAGCAACTTTCTTAACAGGAAAAGACTGAAAGCTCAAAAGTTTGTTGTTATATATTCAGCCTCCCTGTGAAGTTGCTCAGTTTGGTTTTCACCAGTTTGACAACATGTTTGGGATTTGGGTCAAAAATGTACAGCTTAATGTCTCCTTTTAGATTAAAAGTGTGCAAAATAGCAAAGGGGTGAAAGGCCAGTATCTGTCAGATTAGCTGAACAGCAAATGTCTCTCTTTGAGTTTCTCTGAAAAACTTCTTGAATCTTCCTTCATGTTTCACTGATCCTGAAAATAGCTTACCTCGAGTTGAGTGCTCTCAATAGCAACTTCCACACCAAGGAAAGTTGTTAGTATGACTTGCTAGCACTGTTTCCTGATTAAAAACAGTGCTGCTACAACCAGCCAATTTCTGAGTGCATCTCTGCTTCCTCACAACTACATTTTACCTTAAACAGCAATATAGTGTTCCTAAAAGAGTTCTTTTCGATTCAGCTCCCAAAATTTGCACAAGACTCATAAAAGTTAAAAGGAAACCAGGAAAAAATATTAATTTCACATACAGTTTGCATGTAGACTAAAACACAGATTACCTAGATTTACTTTAATCTTGTGGGGATTTGGTTTTCTGTGTGTCAGTTTAGTTCCTGTGTTGTCTCGTCTGCCCCTGATTGTTCCCAGTTCTCCCTCTTTTCCCTTGTTTATCTTCCCTGTGTATTTATACCCACCTGTGTCTCTTGTTCTCTGTCAGGTCCTTGTCATTTCTGTTGTGTCATTGTCAGAAGTCTAGTTTCCTGTTTTGTTAGTTGTACCAGTTGCTACCAGCGTTTGAGCTCTTTGCCTCTACTGGCCTGTGCTGCCTGAATTATTGTTTGTATTTCTTCATTAAACCATCATTTATTCACTATAATCTGGGTCCTCCCACGATCCATCCTCACCAACTTCTACACTTCATGACAAATCTCACTGGACACTGATGTTTAATTGATTGCGGTCCTATGAAAACACAACTGTAATTAATATTTGACCACTGCCTACAACTCAGCCAGTCTACATTTTTTCCTTGTCAGAGGAATGGAGGAAAAATGTCATCCTGACCCACTGATCACTCAGGAACGCGAAGGAGGCAGATTTTTCCCAGCAAGTAGAAAAATTTCTTCTTCAAGAAAACAAAGTGAAGGATTTTTTATTGCAACTTTGCTCACGTTTGGATTGAATCCAAACACCAGTCCTCACAAGCTGCAACATAAATGTCCAGCATGGTTTGTTCCTGCCTTTGGTGTTGAACATGATTGAGATCAAAAGTCGCCAGGAGATGATTGGTAAACCTGCACCCTGCACCCACAGATTTAATGACGTGTGGTCTCTAATAATAATTGAGCGGATCCAATCTGCAGTGTTGACAGTGTTTGCGGTGGATTATGTCCAAACATCCCCATTCCTATAGATGTTTCTGGGTGGAAGGTGTTGCAGGAGAGAGAGCATGTGCCCACGTAAGGTGTATGCATCTCTTTCTAGGTCCACCCAGCTCATGACGCATCAACACAAATAAACAGCGTCAACCAAACTGCTCTGGGAATACAAACGGAGATCAAAATTAATAGCGTGGAAATGAGCAACTCTTTAGTCAATCAAGATGTTTTTGCTGTTTTGTTTGAACATCATGTGGGAGTTCTTAGAACCTTCATAGGACAGTAGATATAACAAAAAAAATTGTGAGATTTTCTTTACATACGTTACATAATGTAAAACACATTGCTTTATTGTTTGCAATAATAGGAAAGTCAAAAGACAGCTGCAAGTCTGGTTCATCCTTGGGGACAATGTCCAGATGATTGAAAGTGCTGCATTCATCCTTTCAAACAATTATACACAAATATACACAAATGGTGGGAATGTCCAACCAGCATACTGCTGCAGGAGGAGCTGGTGCTCCTCATTAAACAGATGGCCTCTTTATAAGAACATTATATGGAAATGTGGAAGCAACATCTAAAGACGTTAACCAGGAAGTAAAAGCTTGGGTACAGATTGGTCATCCAGATGGACAACAAGTGGTTACAAAGTGCTTAAGAACAAAGTCAACGTTTTGGAGTCAAAAACAAATGTAGAGAAGATTTGAAAAAAAAAACAAAAAAAAAACCAGACAAAATCTCTTACTGAAGGGTTTATTTATTACCAAAAAGAGCATTTTTAAACTAGAGGTTTGACTAAACAATCATTTTTGCTTTCAACATGGCAGAGAAGTACATGTACAAAAAGGTCAGTGTATTAAATTGCTGGCCAACCTGTCTGTAGTAGTTAAACGAAGTGCATTACATGATAACCAATATGGAGGTAAACAGACCTAGCAAGAAAAGACTAACATGAATTGCCTGCTTTATTGCACGTCTTAGGAAATAATGATCTTTTATAGACCAGAGGTTTTGTTGATAACATTCTCTGATCATCTATGAGAAAGAAAAACAACTCACCTGAAGTCTCTGTCAGGATCCTGTCATCTATATTTATGAAAAATAGACTATTATTTGCAAAGAGTTGCTCTGTTCTGATTATTTCCCCTCATCCTTCCAAGTCTTTCCCAACTCCTGTAGAGTCTGTTTTGTCAGAAGACAGTTTGGGACTTGTGGACCCAGCACCGCTCTTCTCCTGGGTCTCCAGCTGAGCCATAATTCCACTTTCCTTTGACGCTTTGCGTTGCTGCAGCTCTATGTCCCGATCTGCTTTCCAAAACTGTCGCTTCAGGAGGACGATGACGGCAATCATGAAGAAATAGGAAGTGCCGCTGAGGCAAGTAATCAGACCAAGGAAAATGATTCTTTCATCGGAGACAATAAACAAAAGGTTAGATTACTAATCTTTTTTTGTTTAGGAATATATACTGCTACTCCTGTTTTACCATTTTCCTCTTTTGATGCATCTGTATATATTTGTGTCATGTTTTCATACATTATTTCTAAATACTGCTGAATAATTGGATAAAAACCTCCACAGGACTGTTCTATTTTTTTGATTTATAAATTTACTATTGGCATTTCAAATAACCAAGGAGCAATTTCAGATTTAATTACAGTTTTACAGCATGATATATTATTTATCTCCAAATGATCTACATAGACATTCCTTTCCCATGCAAAACTCCTATCGTTATGACCATATTCCCGACATTCTCTGAATACCTGTGCGGTAGACTGATTTTCCTCACGCCCTTGTAAATTTAATCAATACTTCGCTGACGGTTTCATCCGCCTTAAGTCCAGTGGCATTTCTCCTGTAATCACCTGAAGAGTAGGAATTGGAGAGGTTCTAAAAGCACCACAACATATCCTATGCGCTTTAGCTTGGATTCTGTCTAAATCTAATAAGAAAGAAATTTGCAGCTGACTTATAAACAATACATCCATAGTCCAACACAGATCGAATTAAAACATCATACATTCTTTTCAAAGATATGCTTGATGCCTCCACTGACTCGTTAGAGCCGCTTGTTTATATCACCAGCGTGCACCGCTGGCGGAGCTTAACGCAGTAAACATAATGTTTTAACCTTAGCTTTTCAAATATATGATTTACTACATTTCTAATCATTAAAACATTCAAAGGAATAAATTAACCTTTACTGTAGCAGGTGAGGCCTGGTGGGCCTTAGATGTTGTTTTGGCTTATTGTGCTACCTTCTGAGTGCGTCATTAATGCATAGAGTAATTTTGATAAATCGGCCATGTTCTCACTTTGTCCCCCAAACCTGGACATAACTTCTCGACTCTTTCCAGACTAAAGAAATGTCATTCTTCATGTTGTCGGATACTACATGTCTAGCAGTAGAATTAGTGGGTTTGGCTAGTGAAACTGAAACAAAAATCTTGAATAATCACAGATAACTTATGACTTCCCAATGGATGGATATGTTTTTACTCCATTTAACAAGTCATACTTTAAAAGTTGATTTGTATTTACTCAGATTGGCTTTGTCTAATGTTAAAATTAGCTTGAAGCATTTAGTTTGGCCATTAAAAACAGTAATTGTTAATTTATTCCTTGGCTTTCACTGTC